CCCCAAAACCCCAAAACCCCAAAACCCCAAAACCCCAAAACCCCTAAAGCTCTAAAGCAATTGAAAAAGAGTGTCTGTATAATTATTAAACACTACAATGGACGAATTTGAAGCAGGAACTAAACGCATGAAAACTGACGTTGAGGATGAGAAAGCCTACCACATGCAGAAGAAGATGACCTCTGATGACATCGAGAAACAGAAAAAGAAGCCAATGGGTGGCAAGATCAAGAAAGTAAAGAAAAGAGATGCTAAAGCAGCTGCTAAATCTAAAGAAAAGGGAGGAGTCAAGACTAAGAATTACAAATATAAGAACGAGAAGGAAGATGATGAAGAAATGAAGGAGAAAATGGATGAGCTTAAGAGATACTATAACCAACTCAGAGTGAAGAAGGGAGACCTTAAGCCAAATAAAGAGCAGAGAGACGAACTTGTTGATAATTGTCTTAAAATTATTGGTAAAGACCAGAGAAAATACGCATTTAAGCATGATGGATGCAGAATTCTTCAGTGTATGCTCAAGCGTGGATCTATGGAGCAGAAGAAGACTATAATTGGATCCATGATTAATATATTTGCTGAGCTTCTCACATACAAATATTCATATCATCTTGCTTACAGGATGGTCGAGTACTGTAATGATGAAGATCAAAAAGAAGAATTACTCAAAATTTTGATGAATAAGCTAAACACATACATCACTCATATCTATGCATCAGAAGTAGTTGAGCAAATGTATAGTCTAAGCGTTCCAAAGAACAAGAAAAGACTCCTACATGCTTTTTATGGTAATCTCTTCTTGATCCTGCAAGAGAATAAGTCTAAAAGTATTAGAGCCTTAGTAAAGGAAAAGCCAATTGTTAAAGAAGAAATCTTGAAGAAATTAGAGAACTTGGCCCATAAATTGATCGACAAGGGACTCACAAGACACACAATTGTGCAAGCTATTCTCTACGACTATATCTCCATTGCATCTGACGAGCAACAAAATGAAGTTCTCCAGATGCTTATGGAAACATTCCCAGCTTTGCTTTCATCAAAGCAAGGATTAAAAGTAGCCTGTGGGTTGTTTTCAATTGCTTCTTCAAAGGAAAGAAGAACCATTGTTAAAACGATAAAGCCTCTGGTAGAAGAGATGGCTGTGAATCCTGTTTCTTCCTTATTCTTACTCTATATATGCTCTTCTCTAGATGATACAGTTTTGGGAAAGAAGTCAATTGTCAACACTCTTGTTAAAATCTATGAGGATATCCATGAGGATAAAAATGCAATGGTCCTCTACTCCTGTCTCCTATCTGGCATTACAAATCCAATCAGAAACGTGATAACAAAGACCAAATTAAGAGCAATGTTCTTAAACTACACAAAGACCACTTCAAAGAAGGAAGAACCAGTGAGGAGGAAGGAAATTCTGACTAACCTTGTCGAAGAGATCAGCACACAGATGGAAAATGATCTTGTTGGCGAACTCTGTAACAACAAGCCTTACATTCTTACTTCCTTGATCTATTACTGAATTGAGCAGAATGATTATGAGGAATTCCTAAACTCTCTCTACAGAGCGCTTGAGAAGGAGATTTCTGTGCCAGGAAATGACAACAAGATCCCATTGGTTTCTCATTCTTCAGTCCACAGAATCATTAAAGAGCTGATGGTGTATGATATCAATATGAAGAAGGAGGACCCTGAAAGAGAACTCAACTTCACCACAGCAATTGCTAACATTTTAAAGAAGGATATCCCCCTCCATCTTAGGGAAAGATCTGTCTTCTTATTAGCAACAATCGCTCAGAACGAACAGTCCAAACATCTTTTGACAGAAGAGGACATTCCTAAGAAGGCAGTCAAGAAAGCAGCAAAGGAAGTTAGGAACAAAACTGGGTTGAAACTTCTCAAAAGATTTATGTTTCCTTAAAACTGTCTCTAATTCTATATTTAATGTCTGTTGGGGTTTTGGGGTTTTGGGGTTTTGGGGTTTTGGGG